TCATAAGCTCTCAGAAATTGGTTTCTCAGATCATACCATTGGTTTGTTCTCTCTTTCAGATCGGAGGCAATGTGTTCAACATAATGGTATTTCCTCCAGTTATTTAATAGTTAACAATGGTGTACCACAAGGCTCAGTCTTGGGACCCACCCTCTTTACAATCTACATAGATAATGTTGGTCAGAGCATCCTTGATGCATCCTTACACTTCTATGCTGATGACACAGTTGTTTACTGTCGAGCTAAAACAGTTGCAAAGGCTTTCCAGCTTTTGCAATCCGCCTTCAGCATAATCCAGTCTGATTTGTTCTGTCTCAATTTTGTCCTAACTGCCGACAAAACCAAAGGGATGCTTTTTTCAAATAGGAAGCCTGTCCCAGCATTTCTTCCTCTGATTTTATCGTTTAATGGTGTCCCTATTGAGTTTGTCAATTCCTACAAATATTTGGATATCTTGGTCTATTTGCATCTCTCTTTTAAGCTTCATGTGGAAAACTTGGTAAAAAAACAAACAAAAAAAACCTGCAAGTTAAATTGAGTTTCTTTTTCAGAAAAAGATCCTGTCTAGCTCTGAATACTAGGAAAGGCCTTGTAACTGGGACTTTCCTTCCCTCCATTGATTACGGTGACATTATTTACATGAACGCCTCTACAAGCACTCTGCAGATGCTGGACGCTGTCTATCATGGTGCATTAAGATTCATAACTGGCTGTAAGTACCGTACCCATCATTGCACCCTGTATTCTCTGGTAAACTGCTCATCATTAACTTCACACAGACTCTTTCACTGGTACATTTTCATCTTTAAATCACTTCTTGGTCTGCTGCCTTCATACATCTCCTCCTACATGCCTCTGCGTGGTGCAGCTACAGCGTGCGCTCTCAGGACATTATTACATGCAGTGTCCCCTCAGTGAGGACTGAACTAGGCAAAAGGGCCTTCTCCTACTCTGCTCCTGTTTCCTGGAATATCTTGCAAAAAGATTTGAAGCTCCTAACCTTGACCTCTCTAAGCGATTTTAAACATCTGTTATGTTCCTGGCAAGAACCAATGCAGACATATTCCTGTTTTTAATATTGTACACCACCTCATTATCAAGCCTCTTTTTCACTATTTTTCCTTTTAATTATCCTTTTTAATTAGCATTTTATTTTCATTTGTTAAAAAAAAAAGCATTCTTTGCAATTTTCTGTTGTTGTTGTCCCCTGTTGTCTTCACTCTTTGTTAAAATTCAGGTCTCTCTTGTAAATGAGTCCTCGTGGCACAATGGGACTAACCTGTTTAAATAAAAATTGAACTTGACGTCAGCCTACTGACCTTTAATATTTCAAAGTTGGTTATTGTGAGGACTTTTGTGAAGTCTGGTGAGAAAAATAAACTGAAACATATCAAAATGTAGAAAACATGAATACTGTCTAAAAGACAGTTGTCTTCCATGTATCTAAAAGATTCAGGAGACCTTCGATAGTACCTTCCTTCCTCTTGAGGCAATAATGGAAGCAGTCATGTTTCTAATTTTAGCATCTTGGCCTTGTCTGGGGTGTTGAGACTGACCACATAAATTTTAAATTGCCTTAGTGCAGGAACAAGAAACAGTTGGCCTCCCCGTGGTGCAAACATCAGTGTGTTTGTTGGCACAGGAACAAATGGGCCGAAGCTTATTTCCATGAAATATTCTGTATGTTAACTTCAAAGCATGTTGATACTGGTTGTTTTCTGCTCGATACATGTTCCCAATGTAGCCCAGTTTGTCTACAGATTCGCCGTTTTGTCATTTAGCTGATCTATGCACAGTCTGAATGAGGCAATTTCAAGCTATTACATAAAAAAGTTCATTCTTTAACTAAATAATGATGAAGTTAACAAAATGAAAAAAATAAATCACAGAAGTTCATAAAACAGTTCTGAAGGTATAGAATAAAGACATTTATTAGAACTATTTGAATGATTTAGCTTAAGCTCCAGTCAACCTGCTACTGAAATACGTGACCAGTTTTCAAACGGTATGAGACCTGAGTTTTGGTGAAGTTTCAAGCCTTTATTTTTATTTCTACTTTCAGAAAAAAAAAAAAAAAAAAAAATTCCCTCCAATAAATTAAATTAAGAAAATATAAGTCACAAAATTTAAAACAGATTTTTAAAATTGCTATTTATTATAAAGGTTTAAAAGTAAAACTATAAGCAGGTTTCAAATAAAAGTTACTTCTTATCTTTGACTGGAGGTGAGCTGACCCATTTAGAAACAATGAAGCACCAACAAGACTGATAATAAACTTATTTTCTCTGAAATTATTGAAATATAGGCTAGTTGACAGTATGGTCGCACCAAGTGTAAGACCTGTAAGTAGTTTGGATTTTGGAAACACACAAAGTACCCGTGTTTCCCCACATAGTGGTAGTACATGGGTGGAATGTTTATTTTTCCATTCCAAGAGTCAGAATGAAAGCCTTCTGCAGCAGAGACCAAAAACCAATATGCCACATAAACATTACCTTCCAAAACCACTTGCTAGGTCACCAAAATCTTTGGTAGCAAAACGGTAACATGATTAATAGTATTTGTGTAGCCCATTCAGTGTTGTAGCTGAATAGTAACACTACTTTAACAGAAATATAAAACATCAGATGCAACAAGCTCAACAATGAAAAGGGGCCACTGCACTGATCCACTTTATGACGTTTAACTAAATAACTGTACAGTTGGATCTGTTTCGGTACTCTCCCCCCGTTGACCTGCGCTGTAATTCTTCGGCTGGCCCTTTGGCCACTTGTCTCTTGTGCTGTGCAAGAAGTGCTCTTCACACTTCCCCAGTGAAACCAGAGCTTTCCCTTCAGCCTGCTGCCTCCCCATGTCCTTTGGGCTATTTTTACTCCAGCAGAGGCTACTTTTGCTGAACCCATCCCACAGCCCACTGAACTGCAGCTGAAACTGTGTGTGGTTTGTGTGTGTGTGTGTGTGTAGGTGTGTGGTGAAACGTAATTTTATGTTCACAAAATAAAGCTTCTAAATAGAATTTGTTAGTAGTTAATTATACTACACTTAGTTTTAGCAGGTACCTGCAAATAGAAGTAGGGTAATTTTGTTTCACCCTGGGTTTGTCTTGTCTTATTTCAAGCAGCGATCCTCAACTGGTGAGTTGTGACCCAAAAGTGGGTCGTGGGCGTTTGCATGGGAGAAAAAAATGTTAAGAAAAAAATAAACAAGTCAACATTCTGATTATTAGATCAGCTTTAATACTTGAATAAGTAACTGAATACATCTCAGTAGCTGGACTTTTTAAAACATTTTCCTCTCTAACATCAACACACTTTTTTTTTTTTTTTTTACTTTTAAATTTTATTTTCTGTGTTGGCATTATGTGGAATTTTTTTAAAAAGTATTTACTCAATTTGGTTCATGACTTGTCATTGTTGGGTGACTGGGGTGATCTCTAAGTGAGACCAGTTAAGAACCACTGATTTAGAGATTTGTCTGTCCAGTTGTTTACTTAATTTCCTCTTTGAGTCAGCTGTCATTGTTTCCCCAGCCTTCCTGGATCCTCAGTGGATTCTCACCTGCCATGCATCTGCTATTTAGACACAGCTGTTTCTACGTAGAACACTCCCCTCCCTGTTAAAATAGTCTTTAATTATTCTAGTCGTCAGATTCTACATTTTGTGCCTAGTTTCCATGTCTGTGTCCTGCTCTACATCGTTTGGTTTTCCGTGTTTTCTACATGTTTCTGTTGTATGCTGCCATGTCATCTCTCTTTTCTTTCTTAAATAAATTTAGTTCTTGTTTTGTGCCTATGTCTGAAACATGTGTCCTTAAAAACCACTACTTAAAACAGAGGCAAGCCTTAAAAAAAAAACACTAAAACCCTAAAAATCAATTCTGTAATTAGCAATATTGAGGAATAAGTGGTGCAAAAATAATAATAAACAAAACAACAGCAAATGAAAACAGATTGGTGGACAGGAATGTTGCCTCACAGCAGGAACAGCTAAGTCTTTATCTTGTATTATTTTTCTGTCCTCTTATGGAGGAGGATGACTCACTGTGGTGACCCGTAAAGAGGGAAAAGGAAGAAGGAGACAGGTCCTCTGGATGGTTTCTTTGTGTTGAAGCATTCCATGTTTCATCCAAAAGACTTCATCAGTCCGAGGAGCCACAACAAACTCAGTCCTATAAGTGGCTTACTCACATAGTGGGCCAACCAGTGTGATGTTGATAAGATGGTTTCTGGGGTCCACCCTCTCCCCAGTCGTCCTGAACCACTTTGACCATGGCTGCCTCAGAGGAGTCGACGAGGACATGACTTAACTTTGTTGGATTTTTTTTTTACCTGGATTAATGAGCATGAACTTTGAAGAAGAATAAGGCTTTCTCTGTGCAGTCATGTACACGTACGATGTGTGTGAGGTTAATAAGTGACTTTAAATGGACAACACGTGAAAGCGACCTTTTGGCACATAGCAATTGGAGTTTTGTCAAAAGGCGGCAGAGACATCTCCAGACAGTAACACACAGTTCACCCCCTCGCACTCACACACTCAAGCACTTGTCCTTGTTTGGTTCACGACTTTCCCAACATTGCTAGCTGTGCCTAGTCATCCATGGCATCGTGTTAGTGCTTAGGGAGAGTGAATTACATGCCCTCTTTGACTCCAGCTGGTGCTCAAGGTACTCCCACTTTTTCCATAATACTTGGAAAAACAATATTAAGATGATTTTACACCTAATATTCCTTGTTTTATTCTTCATGCTTGGGCTGTTTGTGCTATACAGTATGAAGAGCTGGATGGACTCAGTACATCATGGATGGACTCAGTACATCAGCTCTAAAAGCATAAGTCTATAGAGTATGAACGTATTTTGAAAAATTTCTCGAGTGCTACATTTTCCCTAACATTTTATGTCCCTCCTCCTTTTTTTTTCTTGTTTCTTCTTGCTGAGCATGCATCAGAATGTTTCTTCCTGCATTTTTCTCTAACTCTTCCTCTCTTTCTCCCCTACAGTGAAGTACATCAAGGAGATGTCGGCCTTCTTTAAAAGCCCCGGCTCCCCTGGAGCCTCCCTCCCATGGGATTCCCCTCCTGCTACACCCCAGAAAGGCTCTGAGCTCTCCCATGCTGAGGTGAAAGACCCTCGTAGCATCCCAGTGAAGATGTGCCAGGTGTCACGGAAACAGTGCCCCCCGGACACAGAAAACAGGTACTACATGTTAACGGTTCCTGTTTGATTCGGTTCATCTAAATATCCTGATGCATGCTCAATGTATTTTTTTGAATGTCCAGAGGACCAGATTGAACTTTTTTGGATTCATCTAAATACTTTTGAGAAAATAAAATCTGATGTCAACATAAAAGTGATGGTGTGTTTTTTCTCACTCACATGTTCTATATGAAACCTTTTTCACCCTCTAGCATTGATATTCGTCTTTTGATTCTCTAACAGTCTTTGTTCCCCACTTTCGTCTCTTTCTCATTGTTTCCATCTCACTTATCAGGTATTTTGAGGTTATTTCATCCAACAGAAAGAACTCTGTGTTTCTGCGGGCTAAAGACCCAGCTATGGCGCAGTCCTGGTACAATGCCATTCAGGCTGCTGCTGTACACCTTTTACCACGAGTAAAGGATGAAATGAAGCAAATGCAGCTTGGCATGGAGGTCAAACATCTGGGCTGGCTTTCAGAGCAGGTATGGAGGGATAAAGATGCACGTGTTCAAAGGCTGACATTTCCTGCTGAAATTTCTTAGAAGTTTAGCCTTTTTCTGGGGGGTTGGTATGAAGATTATTGAAAAGTTCTAGTCAATTTTGTCATTCGCATCACGTGATACATGAGGTGGAACGAAATTATATACACAGGGTTGCAATTACACCCAAAAATAACAAAGTATAAAGTATAAAAAGAAACAGTCAATAAGGATCTAAGATATACACATGTGTATAATATATATACATGTTACAAGATACATGTATACAAGCTATATACATATACTGAACATGTTATCTTCCTTTGAGCCATGTTTGGCTTTTTCTTGTACATTATTTCAACTTGTTGTAATTTATGTCCTAAAGTACATACTTTATTCCAGTCAAGTACATAAAGTCTTTTCAAACTTTGTAACCATTTGTTGGCGACTCAGTTAATCATGTACTGTGAATATTCTTTATTTGTAAGAGTGACTTTTGCTTTGTAAGATTAATATTCCACACATGACACAAAATGCAGAGGAAGCTGGATCATGGTACAGGTCTAACACTGTCACATAAACTGGCAGACCATCGCTGTTGTATTTTAAACCTTTAAAAAAAAACACTTTTAAAGAGTTTAGAATCAGGCTGATAAATCTGAATTGCAAAACACAACAGAACATGGCAGGATCTCACAAGAGAGCACAGAGTATAATAACAATACAAATGAATTTATGAAACAAAACAGAGCACAGTATGCCATTTTAGGAAGCAACATTTGTGAAAATGTAACACATGGAATATCTAAGAAATTACAACTATAAAACAAACAAAACAACCTTTTAATGTTGTAATTTGAACAATTGTATTGGCTTTTCTCTATTCTTTTTAAAAATATGCTCTAAATTCAATTATATTGCTTCGTTCTATTCGTTGTTTTGCTTTTCATTACCACCTTCTAAGCACTGTTTAACTAATAAAATGAAATTACTTTTTAAAGGAAATATTTAAAAGATGAATGTTGACAGAACCAGCTAAAAATCAGAAGAAAAAAAAAGTATTTACTTGGTTATATTTTAAAGTCTGTTGTATTTGAGGCTGTTAAATATGTCCTGTTGGACTCTTGCAAGAAAGTCTGGACTGCTCACCAAATGTGGTAAATGTAGAGTTTGAGTTATTTACCAAAAGAACTAGACAAAGACATTATTTTGTACAGCCTTTTTAATTTAATTGTATCTTCTCCTGTGTGTAATTCATTGGTTGAAAGCTTGATTCCTTCCCTATTCAGAGAAAATTTAGTTAACAGCCCATACCAGAGGTTCTATGAGATAGATTAGGAAGGTCCAAACAGAAAAAAATGACAAGATGAATCAATATTTTATAAAAAAAAAAAAAAAAAAAAAAAAAAAATGATTTGCACATCTAACCTGTTGTAAAATCCAAGTTTTCAGCAATAGTTCGATGGTGGCACAAACATCTCTGTGTGCAGGTGTCTCAGGGTCCAGATAAACCTGTCATGGCTGTGTTGACAGACAAGGACCTGCTCCTGTACCCCTCTTTTCCAAACAGCAAAGAGAGCCTCAGCACCCCCATCAAAAGCCACCCACTCATCACCACCAGGTTTATATGCAACATGATTTTATATCTACCGTATTTTTTGGACTGATAAGGTGCAATATCAATGAACGGGTCTGTTTTCATACATAAGGCGCACCGGATTATAAGGCGCATTAAACAAAGTCAGATAAGTCAAACTTTGTTCAACTCGTTCACAATAACCACATAAAATCAGTTCAAGGTCACAATCAAAATTGATATATAAGGTGCACATGGTTATAAGGCTCACTGTTGATTTTTGAGAAAATTAATATAAGTGCACCTTATAGTCCGAAAAACTTGGTATATCTGTATTTACACGCTTGTTATGTTTATCAGTATACAAGTATAAAAGCTGAGCAGATCTGTATCCCACCATGAGGAACTTTTTTCCACAGTGGTTTGTTTTGGCCCAGTCAAGGAGTTTCTGTTCACACTTTCCATGACTGAACAACTGGACATTTTGTCCCATAATTTGGGAAACATTAGTGGTAGCAGAACCTATGAGTCATGCATGCTTTTCCCTTCTACCCATTCTCCATTTTTCACTTATTCAGCAGTTTGTCTGCTGGTTATAATCTCATCTGTAATCCCTAATTACCATCTTTCTCAGCCACAGTCTGGTAATATTTTCTTCTTGATTTCCCCCTAAAGGCTGGTTCACTCTGGCCCAGGAAAAAGTTCCCCTCTTCTGGACTCGGAGCTGTCGTTCGGCCTGCGTTCAGGCACCAAGCAGGGCGTAGAGACTCATGTTTTCCGGGTGGATTCTGCCAAAGACTTGTCCACCTGGACCCATCTGCTGGTGGAGGGTTGCCACAGTGCTGCTGAGCTTATCAAGGAGGTCACTGCAGGTAAACAGAGCCAGAGAGTCATCGATTTAGCTTTTGTGTGTTATGAGTGCGACCGTTTCGTCTAACTTGGGTGGGGGGGAATACAGAATTTCCCATGAGCTGTTTCTGGTCTCATGAGATTGGTTTGAAAAAAAAAATTGTTTTCCCTGAATGATGTCCTTGTTTCAGTAAACAAAGATTCAGGGTTTCAAAATGGGATTCCAAGAAAGTGCACTTTCACGTTCTCTGCAGATTTGTCTTGATTTTTTTTTTTTTATAAAAGACTAAAATTTTTATAATTCAGCTTTTAGTGACAAAAATTTTAGTCTCTCTGTATGGTGTATTAGGTAGTTGTCTTCTTGAACAGAACTTCATGCACACTCAGCACAGAATGCTTTGACTTCATTGAGCTCACAGCAGTTCAGCTAAAGTGCAAGGCAGTAATGTTGTTTTGGTGCCCCCTGCTGGTAGCATTAAGTAGCACAAAACATTTCACATAAACTGGAGTCACAGAGGTTATTGTCACTAAAATGCCAAATTTTCTAATAATAAAATGAATTCAAATCCTGATTTTTGTCCCTCAGCAATATGAAGTATAGTAGTAGCAGACAGACAGAGACTAATGGAAGTTTGTTTGCGTTGCTTCCATTAGTTCTGTTTTGATCTAACTGCTGTCCTTGTGCTGCCCTGTAGCCTGCAGCTGGAATGGAAAAGACTGTACACTGGGAGTCCACATCGACGATGGTTTCACGCTATTCACAGATGAAATGGGCGTCAGGAAAAATATTCTCCTGCAGCAGCCTTTCGAGCGTCTCCGAATGTCCTCAGATGACGGAGTTCGCATGATGTTCCTGGACTTTGGAGGCCCTGAGGCAGAAATTGTGAGTCACACTTGAGACATTTTATTAAAATTCTGACAGTTCATTTGAAGCATTTTTTTTATTATTTTATTTATCATAAAGTAAAGATACTGAGTCTGCATGTACTGAACACATCTAAGATTGAGATTGGAGGTAAATCAGCTTAAATAATTTGCACAAAGGAAGTTGTACATGTCAAAAATTGGTAGAGGTGAAATACTATAAGTACAGTACTATATAAATTGTTTAAATTGTCAACTTGTGTTTATATTTGGTCTATTTCATAGATTCAACTGATGAAATGTGAACAAACTGTGTCTTTGTGAACAGCTGAAAACAAAATGTCTAAAATTTCAATTTAAAATAGGTTATTAGCTGAGTGATATGTGTCAACACAACGTTGGTTCATTACTTCAGTTTTTTGAGTATTGTCATGCCTGAATGATGCATAACTCAAAATTAAGGGTCCTATAAAAAATATATATAAAATGGAACCAGTCTTTTGTTAGGCTGAAAATTAATATAAAAGCAGCAAAAGACAAAAAAATAAAAAAGAAATAAGAATATTTTAATAAATATTGATCAATCTACTCCCAGGTTTTTTGGAACAATTATGTTTCAAAACTTTAAAAGGACACATTTAAAAGGAAGTATGGATTGTATTTTGAAGCACAGTAATATTAGATTTTAACCAGCATTTGGAACGTTTCACTTGTCTTCAAAGTGGTCACAACATCCTTATTTTTTAGTCAGTACTGAACTCATCTCTAAGACAAATGAGCAAATTCCATCTACCGTATTTTTTGGACTATAAGGCGCACTTAAAATCCTTTGATTTTCTCAAAAATTGCCTGTGAGCTTTGTAATCAGGTGCACCTTATGTATTAATTCTGGTTGTGCTTACTGACCTCAAAACAATTTTATGTGTTACAACTGAACAATGGTAAGAGTTATTGTGAATGAGTTGAATAAAGTTTGACTCATCTGACTATTTTGTTTCGCCAAATGCATCTTATAATCCGGTGCACCTTATAGTAGAGTTGTACTCGGGTCCAAAAAATCTGACTCGACCCGGCCCCAGCCCCCGAACCTCATCTCCGAACTTCACCCAATCCGACGAATTAACAGTAGTTACAGGTCACTTTGACTGCTTATACCACCGACTATTAGTAATGGTTGGCGGATGCGTGCGGCTGTGTAAAGGGGACAGAACATTAGAGCTGAGGAGCCCTCAAAGTGCATTAAATGCTTCCCCTGTTTCTGCCTGCATCCTGCTCTGACATGTCACATATTTTGTGATCTCACCTGTTTGGATCATCAGCCGCGCATGTCCACTGAGTGCCACTGATGAATGAACGTCCATTTGGGCGATGGATCGTTGGCAGTAGTCCATCTGAAGCTTAACTGAACATTTTTCCTCTTTCAACCGGCCAGTTAGCGCACAGTCAAATAGCCGCATGGGGCTGGTGAATGCATGGCAAGCCATGTTGGCATATAATTGGATCATCGGCCGTACACATACCTGACGCAATAAAAAGCCCAACACCTATCCGGTCCGCACAATAAACACATTATTATGGCCCGGTCCGAATCCAGGTTGGGTGGGGCTGGGCTCCGTGTTCGGGTTAGAAATGACAGCTCTATCTTGTAGTACTAGTAAAAAAACACAGGATGGACTTCCATCCATCCATCCATTTATCTTTTACCCACTTCTTCCATTTTGGGAAACGGGGGTCGCCGGTGCCCATGTCCATCAATCACTGTGCGAGGGGCGGGGTGCACCCTGAACAGGTCGCAAGTCCATCACAGGGACACGGAGACCAACGAGACAACCATTCACTCTCTCACTCACACCTAGGGACAATTTAGAGTTGCCAATCAACCTAACATGCATGTTTTTGGTCTGTGGGAAGAAACCGGAGTATCTGGAGAAAACCCACGCATGCACGGAGAGAACATGCAAACTCCACCCAGAAAGGCCCCCGCACCGGGATTTGAACCAGGGTAACCTGCTCACCGAGAAGCAGCAGCTCTGCTAGTTGCGCAATCGTGCTGCCCAAATCAGATCTTAGACTTTAATCAATTATTGATGTATCGTATTTAGTAAATTAAATGCAATAAATGAAAGGTGAATTAAATTTAGCTGCGTTTACAGTTAAACAGAACTGTGCATAAAAAAAGTCTATTTTACACTTCACACAGTGACTAAGTTAATATGTTGCCTTGTTTTCTTCATGTTATCCACAACTAGAAATTAATCGGTGTGAAAATATGTTGATTTATTCTCGCCTCTCTGTCCTTCGTCAGCAACTGGACCTTAAATGCTGCCCGAAGACCTTAGTGTTCATCATCCACTCATTCCTGTCTGCTAAGGTCAAGCGACTTGGCCTCCTGGCATGATGAAGGCCGTCCCTCCACAACATCAGAATAGGAATATTCAGTGAAACGTACCCCAGCTGCAGATGACGTTTGACGATGAGGCCAAGGAATCGATGCTGACAAGACCATCCTTTTCAGCTTCCCAAGGCCTCTAAAGCTTATCATGTTCGGTCAGGCACCTCGTGGCCTTTCTCGTGAAGTCAAAAGAAAACTGAAACTTTGATGGACATTTGCTTAATTTGTAGTTGTAAGGTAAAAAAGATCTTTTGTTTTTTCTTGATCTTATTTTTTACAGATTGTACTAGCCAGAAACCACTCGACTGTTCTGATATCTGTCAAAAGCTGCCTAAGTAGGTTACTTTTATGATGGCAAACTGTGTGAACATGACAGCCTGTATCTTATTGGGTTTTACACTGAAGTTTCAACGTTTTCTTTTCTTTACTTCAATTTGATGAGTCATAGGCTTTTGTCATGAGTCTTTTCATCTTTCATTTTCTGCTTTATGCGCTGTGAGCAGGAAAAAAAAACAAGTAATTTCAAGAATGTCTTGATTGATGTTGGACAAACACGTTTTTTTTATGAAGATAATGCTACAGTGGAGTGACAGAATGACAGCACTCATCACACAATCAATAGTTGGTGCTGAACAATGTACAGCTGCAGTGACATGTTTATGATGACCGTTCAGTTGCCTTTGCTCAGTGTAATTTTATGTAAGAATAAAGCGCTTTTAAAGATTATTTACATACATTTATATAGACACTAAACAACTTATTTTATTTAGTTCAACTCATGTAACAAGATTCTAGACACACGGCCTAACAGTCAATAACAATGGTGTTAAAAATGAATTTGTTTTATTATATGTTAATGCAAATTAGATTAAACATTTTATGGAGTAAGAATAAGATCTTGAATTTCACTAACCATCAGCACTCAGAATATTAAATGACATTGCTACATAAAAACACAATCAGATTTAAAATCTTTATATTAACAAATGATGTCTTTTTTTATAATGGAAATAAAAATGTAAGGACAAAACCCCCTCATCAGAGTTTATACACAGTTTATATAAAGTTTATTTTAAAAGTTTAAACTGCATATGAAACATGATCGCACCATAAATCGTGTGATCTCTTATTTCTTTCAAGCTGAAATTGATTTATTGTTTCTTTTAAAATTTGGGGCCTTTTTATCGCTTTCTTTACATTAAACAAACGTTTCTTAATATATTTTCAGAACTTGCTTCCTCCAAGAACAAAATGTATATTCTTATTTAAACACAGGTGTGCCTTTCAGGGGTGTTTGTATATAAACATGTAATAAACTTTGTGAACTTTTGTTCCTTCTTTTGCATTTGCTTATTTCCAATGCTTTTCTTATTCTTGAAAAACTAGAGACAGCATTTTCAACTTGCTCCTTAAACTTCAACGTCTTTGTGTGGAATTTGCATGTTACCGTAATTTCCGGACTATACAGCATTTCGCACACTAATTAGAAAAGCCTGTGCTCCGCGGAGCTAAAGTTGATCTGTACATGCAGGGGAGTCCCCCTCTCCATTCTCTCCTCCCACTTCATTGGTCACTGGGACCTGTTCAGTAATTTCATTAGTCAGATTTTTTTTTTTTACCTTTTATTTATACAGGCAGTCTCATTGAGTCACAAGGACCCCCCCCCCAAGAGTGACATGTATTGGGCAGCTATGTGACGAAGCTAAATGTTTCTGGTGACAGGAAGCTCATTAGCCTGTCAAAAAAACAAAAACAAACATAAATTAGCCGCATCATTCCATGTGACATCACGAGCGCAGCATGGCTGCACTGACGGGAGCTCCGCTTCGACTCAAATCCTTTTTTGTTCCTGTTGTTCTTGTTTTAACTTTTTTTGCACCTACACTGCACACCCACATTACAGGTATGACTGCGACACAGTTTTTTTGTGTCGCTGCCTTGCCATAATGCCATCCTGTCATCGTGGTTCAGTTCCTGGCCCTCCTCCAGCTTCGGGCTCAGGCTCCGGCCGGTCATGGCGACCGTCTCCATGATCCTCCATCTGCCTGCACGGACCGAACTCTACGGACCTGTTCTGCTCCGTGTGGAAAACCTTGGATGTTCTGTCTGCTGGACCCGGTTCTGGAGGGCAGTCTGTGAGGGCAGCTGCTACGGTCGTTATTTCTATCAAGCTGCTAACAAGACCTGCTAACGCTAAGACCACGCTGCTAGCAGAACAGAACCATGCTCCTGAAAGAACGTCACTGCTAACCAACCCACACTGTAGATGTATTTATTTTTCATTCCGGTGCCTTGTTGTTTGTGTTTTCGCTGCATGCTTTGATATTTCCTGTTGTTGTTTCTCTTTTGGCGAGTCGAGACGGTTCTTCTCGACCTCAGCATTTCATTGCATTGTTGACCTTGCGTTGATTTTTGCATATGACAAATAAACCAAACCTGATATTCCATTGTATGAGATGCGGAGTTCAAATCCTGTGAAAAAAGTAGCGGCTTATAGA